TAATAAATGCACATTTTTCTTTTATGGATTTGTATTCATTTATTTTTTAAGGTGAAATGTACTTTTAAAACTGTGCAGAAATGACAAGTGTGCCAACTGTAATGAGAAATATCTTTAATTCCTTCTAATAAGAACAGACAACAGTAGCACCCAGCACATAATTATGACAATTACCTTATTTTCCAAACCACTTCTACAGATCTTCGTAATAAATGAAATATCCTTCCTACAATGATGTTTCTATATGAGCTCATGTGTGTCCCTAGTACTACAAGCATGGCTCCTAGTCTGATGGTAGTGCAACCTGTTCTGGGAATGATTTGCTACATTATATCCTCGAGGAAGAATAATGAAAGAAAATCTCTCTACAGTCCCCTGCTGGAGAAGCTGAAACCATGCAGATGTTCATATTTCATTCCAGGCTTCCCTGATGAGTGGGATTATATTTCCTGTAAAATGGGAGGAAATGTCATGAATGTGTTACTACGTTTCTGACTGTAAACAATTTAGATATTTATATAGATTACATTTTTTTCTGTGCAGTTCCCCATGTGACTGCAACAGGCTCATTTGTGAGTCTATTGGTTTTACTGAGGACAGCATGCTTTGTCACTTTTGGACTCCAGCAGTATTAGGAATACATCCATCCCTCCCTCATTGTGACCAAGTGGCTTGCCTGTTGTAGACAGTCCCAATGTAACCATCATGCCATTTGGTGACCTTGTCATACCTCCAACTGTCTTTTCTGTAAAATGTGTCCCGTTAGATCTATTAGAAATGCAGGTTGCATGGTTACCAACACTTTACAGTCACTTCCAGGGTCACAGCGATCATATCCCAGAGGGCCCTATTATGATTTCTTAAACTTGACTAACAAATATAGAGTTCTCAATGTAAATTACCAATTTTTGTTAACCAGGAAGCTCCGAGCAATATTAATAGGAGATCCACATAGAATAAACATGGCATGTTTTGGAAGCAAACTGCAAAACACTAGACTGAAAGCCAACTTGAACATAAACAGGACAGTCTTTATTCCTGTTCAACATAAATGAAACAGAACAGTTCATGTGCTTCATATAATAATCTGCTTTTCCTCAGCATATACAGTCTTTAGCACCCCTCTGTGTGATACTCACACTGCTCACCCCTCATGAGCACTCATACTGCTCTCTCAGCAGTGTATCCACCAGGTCTCTTGGGTCACCGACCTTCCCCAGCCTCCCCTGGCTGTTCCACATGCGTCCAGCATGCACCTGAGTCTGTTTGTTACCTTGTGCCTCCTGCACACCCACACACCACTGGTTTGGCTTGACCCACGTGTGCCACTAGCAGACACCACACCAACTCTCCCCTGAGCTCTGGGCTGGGCTCTTAATGAGGCTGCTCTCAGCCACCTGATCACTGGCAACACCTGACCTCAGGACTGGAGATTTTATCCCACCCAGAACACTAAGAAATCTCCAGAGGTCCAGATCCCAGTTACAATCCAGAAAAACTGGAAGAAACCGAAAGGCCAGCTTCTCCCTGCAAATCTATTTATTTTCTGGAACCTCTCGGCTCCTCTGGCTAAGAGTCCTGGGTGACTGTGTTGCCAGCATGTTCCGTGGCATTGCCACGCACTGCCACAATATATATAATTTTATCACCCGCATTGCAACAATGTTATTGTCTTATCCAGTCCTCGTCTACTCATTACTTTCTCCCAAGCTGCCCACACCATTCACTGCCCGGGACATTGCCAATCATTTCAAAAACAAGATCGATGATATTGGTGATGAGATCACCACTGTCCAGACATCCCCCCACAACATATCATTTCTACCATCGCATTCAGTTTTTTCCTCGTTTGACCCTGTTACTACAGAGGAAGTTGCTAAACCTCTCTCTGATGGCCACCTAACCACCATTTTCCTGGACCCCGTCACCTCACCACTACTTGGGTCACCTTGTCCCTCTGTTCTGCCCTTTCTAACACACATCTTCAATCTCTCTATTGGCATCTTCCCCTCTCTCTAAAACATGCACTGGTCAACCCCATGCTTAAAAAGCCCTCACTGGACCCCACCAACCTGAACAACTTAAGACCCATGTCCATGCTTCTGCTTACCTCCAAGCATCTAGAATGCTTGGTCTACAACTGTCTGATCTGAAACCTTCTCAGACCCTTACAGTCTGGCTTTTGCCCGCAACACTCCACATAAGCTGTCCTTCTTAAACTCACTGACGTCCTACTAGCTGCTCAAACTGATGACCACCACACTTAATTTTTGACCTTTCGGTTGCCTTTAAGACAGTTGGCCACCTGCTCCTTCTCAAAGAACTTTGCTTGCTTGGACTCCAAGATTCTGATCTTTCTTGATTCTCCTCCTACCTATCTAAGCACTCCATCAGTGTCACCTCCATCTCCTCCTCTCCCCTTCCTCTTTCTGTAGGGGGTCTCTCAATTCTCTGGCTTCAGACTCTTCTTATTATCTATCTGCACCTCCTCACATGGTCAGTTGATTGTCTTCCATGGCATTTCTATGCTGGTGACACCTGAATATATCTCTTACTCCTCATTTAACCCCTCCAGTCTCCTCGCTCATTACTAATTTCCTAACTGACATATCAGCACGGATGTCACACCACCTTCTGTGCAACAAGATTTTTCCTTGGAGCATAAGGCAGCCATCTCAGTGGACGTGTTGTGAGAATCCGTATTGTGATCCAAGAGAAGATTTCCCTTTAGGAGCTTGAAGATAAGAGTCCAGAAAGATTTCAAAGATTGTTGTCCAGGCCCTGATGAAGAGAGATTTATTTGGCCCCTGAAACACATTGGCCAACTTTTATCTTCATGTTGTCAAATCGTTACCAACAATAAAAGTTTGAGGACTCTTAAGATGATAGTTTGGAGCTCACTTTTTTGATTTCATATAGTTTCTCTTTTGGGGGACCCCACATTGAGAGGTTCCCCCTGCAAGCTCAAAGTAGAACTAAATCCAAAACTTTTTTTTTCATTTTTGGATCGAGTGGGGGAGGCTTATAACCCTTCTCAGCTTTTTTGTTTTCCATGTGTCCCATTGGGGATATCTCTCTGCTATATAGCCATAGCAGGAAGTGAGAGAAAACGAGGTGGAAATCCTTGGTGGTCAGCAGGGTCATCAGAACTAGCGTCCCCGTTGGAAGATTTCCCATCTGATCCTGTTCTGGTGGCAACCCAAAATTTGAGATTTTGTTTTCACTTTCAGTGCTAATTCTCACCAGGACAAATAGAGGGGATGAATCAGGGACACGGGGGACACAGACCGTAATAAAAACGGGTTCTGATCCCTCTCCTCTTTATCCCAAACAACCACAAAAGGTTTGGTTTCGGTTACACTTTAATCACGACTTCTTGTCTGAAGGATGAAAGATTAGGACAGGTGATGGCAATGCCGACACACTAGCTGAGCTTAACCTACAACTCCCACCATGCCTCCTCCTCTAGGAGTCTTGCAATGCCTCATGGTGCAGGGCCATCCCTATTTTGAGGCAGCTGCCTCAGGCAGTGCATGTGGGGACACCTGCTGCCCCTTTTCCAGCCACAGAAACCCAGGTTGCTAAGAACTTAGCAACCTGTGACGCTCTGGACGGCATCCCACCCTGCTCATAGTAACCGGTGACCAGTGGCATCACAAGGGGGGTGCGGCCCGCACCAGGATGACACCATTGCAGGGGTGACACCAAAATGACTGACAGTCATTTTGGTGTCACCGCCTCTAAAAAGTCGGGCACTCGGTCGTGGACCGAGAGCCCGCCAGTGTCAGGAGATAGGAACGTCCCCTCTTCTCTCTGGCGGCGTCCATCACTAAGATGGCCGCCAGCAGGCGTCAATCAGATGGCCGCACATGCGCGATGTCGACACGGCGGGGTGTCACCCGGCCTCGGGACGCCCCTGTCGGTGACATCAGTGAGCTGGGAGGGATGCCGGACAGAACCAGACTAAGGTTTGATTGGGCACCACTGAAAATAATGAGATTCTTCATGTTGCACATTAGCACCATCCCCAAAATGACACCCCTGTGGCATGCACCACCAGCACCAATGGCCTCAGGTGGCAAATAGTGTAACTACACCCCTGCTCATGGGACCCGTAGTTCAAAAACAGCTGGCACATCAAGGTTACCTAACCCTTGAATAGAGCGCAGTGCCTCACACTACTAGTGGAAGATCAGATGACACCGCTCCTGCACAATTAGGAGACAGGAAAAGAGCATTGTCACCCTGCAAAAAAAAATGCCCTAACGTTGACCTTTGCAGCAGCATCACCTGCAATTATGTTATGTGACGCTACATTGCAAATGCAATGCATTTTATTGCTGATGATTGATCAAGTTTCTTTGGCTTCATAACATTTTATCGTTCGTTATTGATCAGCATTACTTTTTTTTAATATGAAACAGTTCCCGATCGCCCTCCCATCTCCCTCATCCCAGCGATCTAGGAAGCTCCAGTGGGCGGGGCCCCTACTGCGGTGAGCGACGGGCGGCCCAGCCTATCGCGGAACAAGCAGTGGGCGGCGCCGGCTGTCATTGGCCCCGCCGCGCAGACCAGCTCGTGCTCTGAGAGCGGCGGCTGACATTGAGTAGTGAGGCGGCGTATAGAGAGGCGCACCGTACTCAGGCACAAGGGAGACATTCCCGGCCACGTAAGTCTAACACACACCGAGGAAGATGATGTCTTGCTGAAAAGGGATCGGCTCCAGCCATCCCTTTTATTCCTTCCTTCTCCTCCTCTCCCTCCTACCTCTGCACAAGCACGAGATCGATTTTATATTTTTAAAGATACTTTGTGTTTTTTGTTATGCAAAAAGGAAACATTGTTCCATCGCAAGGCAATCATCTTCGAGCCCGGAGCGCCCCTGGATTGTGTCCGGCAGGAGTTTACATCACCGATCCTTTCCTCTGTCCTTGATTGAACTTTAGCAGCGGATCGGTATATCTGTGCACCTTGTTATCCGTCGGATCCGGTCGGTTTGCATGACCCCGTCATCATTTGAAGAATTATCGTCCATAAGGTGTACGGAACCCAGCCAGAGCTTCAGCCCCAATCTCGGGTCCCCGAGCCCCCCAGAGACTCCCAACGCGTCGCATTGCGTTTCCTGCATCGGGAAATACTTATTGTTGGAGCCTCTGGAGGGAGACCACGTTTTTCGAGCGGTGCATCTGCACAGTGGGGAAGAACTGCTCTGCAAGGTATGTATATACGTATCTTATCTATGGAGAGAGAGAGCTATGCATGGCCCGTGTCCTACATTTCTTTTGTCCTGAGATAGCCTGCGAGCCTTAGGAGTTCATTGACATCTGTATTTATGCATGCAATTAAAAAGATGTAGGCACTACACTGGGATGGAGGAGGGGCGGGAGACCAGCCGGTGACCTGAGCAGAAAGGTTCAGGCCACATGTAAGCCCCCATTCACACTTCAACGTGAGCATTTGAAGCCGATTTTATTTTGCATGCTTTCAGGCTTGAAGGTTTTTGTTTTAACCAATGGAAAGCTAGTTAGTAGGACGTAGTAGAGGTGATGGTTGTTGAGCATGAAAAACGCTCCTTACTGGCATATCTTCTAGTTCCAAAAACGTGCAATTGGGCCCGAAAAAAGGCTTGGGTACTTTTTTCGAGCTGTGGTCCGGCTTGAACGGGCACCATTGAAGATGATGGCATTCTTCATGTTGAGCGTTCAGGAGACAATCAGGTTAGGGGGGGGCTGATATAGCGCTTTGGGAAACCCCTTTTTGCAGGTGTGCACATAACTCCTCTTTTCAGTTAGTGCTTTGATGTCTCATTTTCTGCTCGTTGCTTTCTAGCTAGGAATACAAAGCCCCCTTTTAGACGAGTACCTGGTGGCACCCTCATGGTTCTTTGTAGATAAAACAAGCCATTGTACCCAAACTATCATCAATGGCTTCACTTTGCTTTTCATGTTCTTGACTCCATTATTGCTGTGTCTGCAATATCTGTAGCTTTAATGCACCGCTCCACAAAAGGTACCTTGTGGAAATGCAACATCGAAACCGGTGTCCCCATTCATTCATTCATAAACAATGGGACGTGAATGATGTAATTGCAAACCGTAGACAGCTCCATAATTCCCCATGGAGGCTAATAACAGCGATCCATTCTGCAGGCTGGAAATGGAATATTTTATGTAATGCAGTTCAATGTATTTAGGGGGAAGACTAATGGTGATCACCGGCAGGGAGTGAGTCATGTTCTGCGGTGTTTATGAATGTCTTTCATTCTTTCGCTGTTTTCTGAATGTTCACGAAGTTGGCTTGAAATACAGACCCTTCAATTGCATAAGCTGTCCTCCGAGGCCATGTGGCTCGAACCGCAGATTTCTGCTGACATATCCAAATTAAATTGCATGTTCCAAGTGACGTAGATGCACTTTTTGTGTATGCTTTGTACAATAATAATAGAGGATGCATCACTGTGTGTGTGTGTGTATATATATATATATATATATATTTTCATCTCACTCTCTAGATATAGAGTGAGAAAATACACACACACACACACACACACACACACACACACACACACACACGGGTAAGCCGTATTAGTCCAGTAATATATACACATATGCTATATAGCTATACTATATTAATCAAGCATATGTGTTAGTGTGTATATATGTATTGAGATAATAAATAAATATATATTCTCATACGTATGCATGAATATACTTTTTTTTTGGGTGGTGATTTTTGTGTAAGCCATCTTATATCTGTGGTCCAACAGCGCGCATATTCGCTGCAAGGTGAACGCGCAAAGACTACAACTGGCCATTCATACATCTGGCTCCATTGTGGCCCATAAACAGTACAATATGTTTTAAATGACAACCACACCACACATGCATCCAGACCTAATTCTTTGTTGGCGTTTAGGAGCACACACATATGCGCCGGTCATGTGGTCCATATTAAAAATAGGACGCAGTTCACAATATAGCCGACTGCAGTCACTGTGCCGCTAGTACCGTGCACAGTATATGGGCAGATGTACCGGCTTTTTTTTAATGAACGGCCATGCCGGTGTCTGAAGTACCGTAATACATAGCAGCTAATTAAAAATTCCAGATGAATGCGGTCAGACCACCGAAAGAGTGCTGATGGTCTGCGAAGGGTTCCAACACTTTATATTTGCTTTGATGATATGTCTGTCTTTGGTGCCTGAACTTGAAGCACACGTGAGGCTTCCCTCTGTGCTGACTTTACTCAATCCTTTGTTTCTGACGTTCCTGTTTTTTTGTTACCTCTTTTTTTAAGGTTTTTGACATTCGCTGCTATCAGGAGTCGCTAGCTCCCTGTTTTTGTCTACCTATACACAGCAACATTAACCAAATAAGTGAAATATTTCTCGGAGAGGCTAAAGCCTACGTGTTCTTTGAGAAAAGCCATGGAGACATGCATTCTTTTGTTCGTACCTGTAAAAAGCTCAAAGAGGAAGAAGCAGCCAGACTGTTCTATCAGATCGTGTCGGCGGTGGCGCACTGTCACGATGGCGGGGTGGTACTGAGAGACCTGAAACTTAGGAAATTTGTCTTCAATGATGAAGAAAGGTAAGGCTGGTAGACTGCTTTTTTTTCTTTATATATATATTTTCTTTTATTTTTTGGGGGGGTCTTTTTATATTTGTTTTTTTCTATCCTATTTTTATATGTGAATTTTTTTTTCTTTTTTCTTTTTTTTCTTTCATAGTGGTTTTATTTTATTAAATTTTTTTTTCTTTTTTAGATTTGTGGTTTTTTGTTTTTCTTAACAAATGCAAAAAAAGTAAAATGGTAATTTTAATTGTATTTTTTAACCAGACGCTGATGAGGCCATTCTGTCTCTGATACAGCTTGCAGTATATTTTACTATATGTTGTTTAGAACATAATCTGTCACTCTAAAAGCTCACCGAAATAATTTTTGTGAATAGCAAATGTTGGTGTATTGATTCTTTCACAATCCAGTCAGTAAGTAAGCGGATATGATTTTAGATCTATCCGGGGAAGCAATTGGAGGTCTATTTATACATTTGCCAAGTCTATTCACCCAGCTAAACTGCAGGATTCATTTGTTTTGTGCGAGTTAATCAGATGTTGTGAGATTAGGGCAAAAAGGAACTTTCTTAGTGTAATTTCTCTTCTGGTTGAATGTTCAATAGGTTCATTCATAAAGAATAAAGTCAATGGGAGAAATTCTGCATTATGGCCACTAGATGGAGCTGAGGATCATAGGAAATGCATCTTAGTAACAAAATGCTATATGACAGTTCTAAGAGAATGAGCATATAACTGTAACCATTGATGTCCCTGTATTAGCAATTGTTACATTCGTATTCTCATTTCAGCTCGTTACTAACATATATTTATTTCCTATGATCCTTCGCTTTTATTTTGTGGCCATAATGGGGCACTTTCCCCATTCACCTTGTTCTTACAAGAGAAATCTTAAGTCCTCTTTTGGGTCACAGCACATTTACAGATATCCTCCTGTGACCAAAGTCTGTATCTAGGGGGCTACTGTCCAAGATATGCCGACAGTGCAGAGCCACACTACAGCTGGGAAAAATCCCGACAATATTGTTGGCACCCACCCCTCTGCCTGATTGACAGCTGGCTCTCCCTCTCTAGAGCCAGAGCCGGATGTGCCCGCCCCTCCTCTCTGTCCCTCCAATCAGCACGGGAGCACTCCCCTGTGGGGAGTGATGACTGGGGGTCACTGCTCTCTGCAGGGAGAAGACCATGAGCTGAGTGATCAGCGGTTTGTGACCACTCTGCTCTCGCTCTATAGACAGCTGCAGTGTCTCAAGCCGTCTCTAAGTATTTGGAAGAATACATTTTATTCTCCTAATACTTCTCCTTTAATAAATAAACCTATTGATGATATTACACTAAGAACATTATTTTTTTTTTTTTTGCCCCATTCTCACAACAGCTGGGTAACTCCCATAGAACGGATGTACCTGCAGTTTCACTGGATGAGTCGGCTATGTGAATTTTTTTTGTTTTAATTCCTAATAGACCCCTAAATCATTATAAGCTGACAGGTACAGAATGATGGTCGACTTATTTCTGATCAAATTGTAGGGTGCAGTAGTCAATAGTATCCAGTCAGTCCATTTTTTTCACTGTTCTGTCTGTTTTAATCAATCTGGTTGTAATGGGCTTCAGTATCTACATTACTGGTGCTCCTACCACCACCTTGGTAAATTTACAAACCTTTGTTGGCAAATGGGCAATAATGGGACCTTTCTTGTATGATGTAAATGAGTTCCTGTGGATGGCTGGCAGTGTAGTCAATCTGTTTGGAGAGTTTTAAGCTTCATATACTGTGGTTGCAACAAGACATGTAGACTTGTATACAGGCCTGCTTCAGACACCACCTCAGCAGGAGCCATTCCAACTCATAAGAGATTTGATCATCTAACGGAGTTAGTTGGGAGAAATGGGTGATCCCGGCAGGTGTTGGATACCTCCTATTTTCTGTCAAGGTTAAACTGAGGCTTTAACCACTCAGACAATCTCCAGGAAAAAGCAACTGGGGCTACCCTTGCACTACAAGGGTTTGTTAATATCTAGGGACCTGTGTTGGACTTTTTTTACTTACCTGGTCCCTGCTCCCACTGTCTTGTGCAGCCCCCTTCCCCAGGCTCTGGCATTTGGAGGCCTGCTGAAGTGATTGTCTAAAGCACTGCCCATGTCCCTGCATTATACACGAGGACACTGAGTTTCAGTCAAGCAGCTAGAGGGGGAAGGAGAAGAGTATTGACTGCCGGGGCTGCAGAAATCGGGTAAGTAAAAGTCCTTTACATGGTCCACTAGGCATTAATGAGCAGTAAACCTTTGCGGTATGGGTTTTTTATTCTTGGAAATAGGCTTTACTCATTGGACATTAAAGACTGTGTCCAGCAGGCATATCCTATGTGTATCCCTGTATTGTGGGTTCGCGGGTGAACGGTGTTCATTGACAAATCCAGTCAATGCAGGGGGGATGTAAATACCATCTCAGTTGTGCAGGGAAGGAATGCAGTGTGCTAAACTCAAACTCAAATACAGGTTTTGAATAGCTGAAATGAATTTAGTCATATAGGATACAGGATAAGGCTGCCAGTTAATCTAATTATACACACACCCTGTGGGTCAAGAATACAGCTTTCATGTGAGGGACTGAGCATACCACGTCAAGATGTTTCATTTTTATGATGTCCAACAACAGAATATTTCCTCTGTTAATTTTGGCATGGCAGGCACCCCCTAATTGATTGTCCCTACTGAAGTAATGACGTAGGGTTTATTATTTCATGGTCCTCTATAGCTCTGCAGAATTTGTCTTGTCCCAAAGAACAGGGGGTGAACAATGGGTCTGGGTGCATGTATGAGCTATGAAATGACTGTTCCTCCTTCTGATATTTGGAGTGGTGGTGAAGCTTTTTTTTTTTTACGAATGAAGTTCATATGCACCTTAGATGAAAATAAATGTTTTTCATTGCAGAAGAGACATGCTATGTGTATTTTTGTCTCTGCCACTTGGATACTGAGGTAAGAGTCCTCAATTGTGGCATGCAAGGGAAGTATAATATGTTTATACAAATCAAGAATACTTGGGTTTATACTGGGATTCCAATGTCAGATCAGGGGGTTTATTATTCGAAGTTGCAACTAAGGGGTGAGCTCAAATATCCATACAGAGAATTTTTGGTTTTCATTCAACCAGACTTTGTACATAGACTTGGCCTATGAACGTTGAGGTACTCGGCGTTGGTCTTTCTCAACCACGTGCCATGGCACACTGGTGTGCGTCCTGGCCTCCTCAGGGGTGCCTCAAAATGTTGTGGTAGTGAAGGGGGCTCCTGATGTAAAAGGTAGTGGGACTGTGAAGTGGAGAGTGAAGGGGGGCCACTGAAACAAAGGGGGAAACGGATGAAGGGGAGAAATTTTTTTTTTTTTTTTGCGTGAGGTCCCTATGAAATTTATGACATTTTAGACTGGCGTGCCTCAAGATTTTGCTTTTAAAGGTTGAGAAACACTGCTTTATATTCAACACTGCACATGTATTGATGAAGAATGACTGACCTTTTATTGTAAAACTATACACAGAAGTAAGATTTTAAAGCATCGACAATCACTAAATTTACATAATCAAAAAAGAGTACCATTATTTAGTAGAGCCACCAGCACGAAAAAACACTACGGGGAAAATGGGAGCTGGGAGTGTAGGGAAGATGGGGAGAGGTCTTTGTTCTTTGTAATCTATTAAATTACGTTGACAGTGCTGACACCATGTGCCTAGGAATTTAGACCTGTGTTGCCATGTCAAAGAAAAAGGTAGCAGCATACCATTTCTGGCACATCAACAGTTATTGTTGTTCTGTACTTGCACTGGTTTTTAAAGGGATAAAACGGGAAATGTGCATGTATTCAGAGATGTACCATTTAAAAAAAAACATTTTTTAAATCTTGACAAATGTTCTTGTATCTATCTAACATGTCGTAAATGGCCCATAGTTGACCTTTTAGTGACATATTGCTGATGGCTTTAGTTACTGACCTCTTTAGATAACTAAACCTTGAGTATACACAGAGCAAATTGTGGTCGATTCTTAATGAACGGGACGAAATACGCTCAGTGGGTGGATCTATCTGCTGACTGCTGGCCAACATACATTGATTGAGAAATTGAAGGAGCCAGTTGAAAAATTGTTACACTGCATCCAATCAGATGGGTCAACTATTAATATGCAGTAGCCACGATGGGAGTTTCTTTAATCCTGATGCTTTAGTGTGTATAAGGCATATGTTAGATTTAAAATCTATCAATTGGAAGATTGGTTAAGTGCCCAATGTGGACTCATTGCTTTATCTTAGGCAGAGTGACATCTTTCAACTTAGTTTTATTTCAGTCAAAGGCTATGAGCTTCTATAGTAGATTGCTTGCTGAGTCAGTCTAGAGTGAGTCATGGCAAATAAGTAAACTTTGCACGTTGGCGATGGTAATCTGGTAATTCTATCTAGGAAACTGTTTTGCATGCTGCTGCCTGGACTTGCTCTTTAATCTTAGCAGCTACAAGGCCTGCGGTTGTAGAAACATGAATGGAAGAGTGCCTTGCCCGCTTGGGGAAGGTGGCTAACCTCTTAGCATTGTTCTATATGGAATGTTCACTTAATAAGTGTTGGTGGATGTCATTGTGTCAAGCAGTGTTTCCTGCTATACTCACTCAGTGTGAAGCCCAGTGCAGTGCAGATCTGAAAGTCCTGTGGATTACTTCTGCTTAACAATGCCTTTCCTGTGTCATTTTATGGCAGTCAGCTGATTTACTTGTGGTATTGCTAACCTTTCTGACCCCACTCAAATTCAATAGCATACAAACAGGGCTCAGGGAAATTGTTAATCAGCTTTAGCAAAGAATACAATGTAATCTGGGTTACATAAAAAAATGATGACGTGTTTAGTGAGTAGGGCATTCTGTGCAGTATATTTATGATTTTGTGCTTGAAATGAGTTGGGGATACTTTGGTGTTTATGCATCGGTCCTGCCTGTATACAGCTTTACAAATAAATTTGTCTTTGACAAT